TTCATTTAACATAGTATATTTTGTGGAGGATAGTGGAATGGAAAAAAGTACTGAATATCGGACTGATCTTTGAGGAACCTTAAAACTAATCAAGTATAGGAGGGTAGGTGAGTCTGTTTTACTAGATAGAATATTTTTTAAGAACTGGAGATTGAGTGAATGTCAATGATCAACCAAGGAATCTAAACTGAGTCTCATAGCTACAGGTTCATAATCATGTTGAGTATGAGGAATTCTTAGCAAAGAACCAGCAACCCTAAGAAACCGTTATAAACTTGATATGCATGCACCTCGTCTCTTAATTCAAAAGTACAAATTAGTAACCACCTGACCTCGGTACTGTATAAGCACTATAGTGTAGGTACCTACACTATAGATTTCCAAACTATACCATATATATCATTATTTAATTTAGGTACAAAAAATGTCTTCCTTAATTCCTACTAGCCGCTACTAATCTTTAGTTAGATTTTTAAAGTAATTTTCTTGAAAATTTTGAAATAAAGCATTTAAGTTTGGTTAAACCCTGAAGTGATCTTCACGGAACAGTTTAAGAAACACTGCTCTAAATTATTCATTTTTCTTTTATCACCTCACTCCTTGATTTTTAGCATGGAGGGGACAAAAGTTTTTTCTACCTCTTTAGATATTACCAGGGGAGTAATTGCAATTAAATATTATACATTGCTTGAAATCAAAAGATTTTGAAAGACCTTCAAAAATGATTTCATTTGATTTGTATTAATAGGAGTATAGATAAAAGAAATACAATTTTCCCATTCAAACATATCTTTTTTCTACCTAGATGAAAGATATTTACATAAAAGATCCCAAGTGTTTTGTTTTGGGATCTGCATTAAATATACATTTACTTAGTCTTATTGGAATGCCTTCATAACATGAAAGCACAGAAGCCATTTGTATAATATACATTTATATGAGTAATGAAATTAGTCTTACAGCAGATGGTTACAAGACTGTTGCCTTCACTGAAAAGTCAAACCTCACGACTAGAGTATAGTCTTTGTTTTTTATGTAGTTCAAAAAACACTGTCATATTCAAAGTATTTACCCATTAGGCAATGTTAACAGTTTTAAATCATTGAATTAAAAAGAACACCGGTTAATACCAATTAGGTATTGATTGAGATCAGTCAGTATCATATCTGTTTTGGATGAAATAATAAAAACTTCCTCCTTGTGTAAAACAACTTTCTCCTGGGAAAAATAAGGATTTATTATATTTATTTGAACTAAATTAATAAATTAATTATTAATAATTATTTACATAAATAAATAACAATAACAAAATATTTAAAAAGTTTTTTTAGTCAATTATTAATATTTATCAGATATTCTAGGTACTAATTTATTTTTTTAGTACAATATAAACGCATATACCTATCAAACTTTTATCTCCTTCAGGGTGTTTTTAATAATATTATGTTACTCGTGGTTAGGTTAGTTAACGAATTACGAATTTTTCGGTTGGTAAATGTGTGGTTTGCTCACATTAAGAAAATTTGGCCGATTCGAAAGGGTCCAACCCTAAAATGTCTACGATTATTTCATGATTTCAATGTACAATTTCTACAACGAAAATTTTCGATTTATTCGACCGTATGAGATTTTGAAATTTTGAAATTCCCCTTGTTCTCTGGGGTTGGACGTCCCAACCCCCAACCATTGAATCATCCCAACAATATAATATTTTGTTCGCTGTCCGGCTTACGTACCGTTGAGTTTGCACCACTGCAATCGTGGCTCTGTGGTAATACCAGTTAGTTCTGACAAATATTTCGTGTCGGATGATTGGGATTACTGACTTGTCGGGGACTACCGAGTATGTGACTGTCGATTGTCAATTCATTTTGTGTTTGTCCGTCGTCCGGTACAAAACTTCAAGTCTTCCGAGATTTTTGTTATTCGTTTATGCGTCAACACGTTTAAACGCCTGTAGTGTTCTACACGTGAGTATGAGTATTATACCTTTTATATATTTCGATACTTCTTTGACAATTAGTTTATAGTTAATGTTCATAATCGTATGGTAAAAAAATTGTACAGATCCCGCGAAACGGAAGTTGGATAAAAACACGTGTTTTTTCCGACCACAGTAATTTCGGTTCCTACTTTGCTACCATTCCGCAAATAAAAAATATCTCGATCCACCGCAAGTATAACCACGGCCGGTGTATAACATAATATTTTTTTTTTTTTTTTATTGAACAAACATAATATATTTACAATCTGTATTTACATGTGATACAATAAGTAAATGTGATGATTTTTGGTTAACAGGAGGGGGAAGTCACCCAGTGGCGGCACCCCGTACATAATATTATATAATAAATTGTATACCCACCTAATAGGTACCTTTAGATAGTTAAAACACCATTAAAATAGCATTAAAGCAAATATCTAATATTATTATTTTCCATATGACGGTTATGTTGACATTAACCTAAATTTAACCTTCATGTATACGTAATTTAATTTCTTCACACGGACTTCACACTAATTAAATATAAATTACCTAAATTAAGAATCATATTTAAATAACCAAACGGATAATATGAATAAACCTAAAACCAGTTAAAAAAAAATTTGAGAGGTAGGTAGGTACTTAATAGGTCGATGTAGTAGAGTACCAAAAATGAAAACATAATGGATACCCAACTTCATTTAATCTTGTACCTCATTAAAAGTTTAAAATGTCTTCTGCCCGTATGCATAGTCAATTTATGTGTCACATAACACATAGTTGTTAACATGCCTTTTGTGAAACATTAATTGACTATATACATACGGGCAGAATTTTAATTATAGATGGTGGTTAGCCAAATCAAAGTATGTACAGCCGTACTTATATTCTTTGAACATTAATTAATAATAAATATTACATTTTCTTCGGGTATCACTTTAAATGCTTAGCAATAATTATTTTTGTACCATAACCGGGAGAATAGAAATGGCTGCTGGTGATATGTTAGCAACCATTTTTTTCTTTGGAAAGCAGGAGTACTAAAAATCATAGACAACATCATTCTATAATACATTTTCTATTAGGTAATTATAATATAAAATATTATCTAAATCTAATATTTCGAAATGCGAATCCATCACCAAAATTCACCACCAGAAGTGTGCGCATCAGCGGCAACTTTTAATCCTCCGGACTATAGTATTGATTTCAAACTATATTATTATATACCCAACCAGCTATTGTAGACTCTTTTTTTGGCTACTAAAAAAAGTAACCGAGTGTCATTTCTATCAAATAAAATTAAATATTACCACCTCTATGCATCTAATAATAGGTTAAATATATTTACAATAGTACCTAATAGGTATATTTTTTTTTTTGTAAATTTTATTTTTTTAATAGCTGTAGCCAATACTTACATGCGTGTCGTAATTAAATTTTTATTTGTTTTACATATTTTAACAGTTAGTTACGTATAACAAATAAAGTTAAGAAAGCATAAATTACTAATACAAATAAATAATGATCTTCATTGTACATAGTTAATGTTTCGATTTAATCTGTTCTAATATCAGGGGATCGTAGCACTCGTGTTTTTTTTTTTACGTTTTAGATCAATACTTGTCCTTAGTCCCGTACTTGGGAATGTTGGATTTTAATTTTTTATACGTATATGAACTCTAAAAAAGTATCTAGGTTATTTAGGGAAGTTGATTTTCAATTTTTAAAGACCTTAAAATTACGATTTTTTTCAAAATTCTCACGAAATAATTGTATTTATTTTGGGCACATTTGATTTTAAAAATGATTCCTAAAAAGCATACCTTCCCAGTCTAGAAGCTGTTCAACTTAAATTCAACCATCTTCTCGAAATTACAATCGAACTTCGGGAAGTATCTTTAATTTACTACTGCTTTTAGTATTTTTTATATTTATGCAAACAAGAATAATATTCTTAAATATATTTAATTTTTCGTGAATCATTGACGTGCGCGTACGTGTGCGAGAGTTGAATCCGGCGGCGGTTGCCCGACGCGGCATTACAGCGATTCTCGGAATATTCATTTACTACTCAGTACTCACGCATAGCCATAGCCCAAAATGTTCATGTCAATGTTAATTGCCGCCTGAATGTTACTCCTTAAAACATGATATGTTTGAGCCCCCTTTATAATTAAAACTCTAACGAGAATTAATAATCATAGGAAGAATTGATAAATACCAAACACGGTAACTACTTATTTGTGTATCCACTATATAAGTATACTCCACTACTTATGTCAACAATTTGGAAACAAACATTTTTGTTAATAATATTTAAAATTATTTGCAATTAAAAATGACATTTTTAATTCAGTTTATATGTAGAACATGGATTTTTATGCACTAAAAAGTATCAAAATATGCCATATAATGTCCAGTCAAAATCGTGAAAATATGCAACCTATATAAAAGAAATTTTTTTAAGAACTGAGAACGATCTGTTTTATATCCAATTTTTTTTTTTAAATTTTCTCTTCAACATGCAATAACCATTAAATATGCACAAATATGAAAAAAAAATTCCCCATTAGTGCATGAACACACCGTCCTGTTACAGCCACAGCAATTATAAACCGTTAACTTATTATGAGAGCCGCAGCAGTTATTTTGGATAGTGTGGTCGGTCTAATTCAAAACAATGTATTTCGATCGAACCAAATCGACAACCAAATTATTTCTACCCCTGCGGCTATAGATCTGTGCAAAACCTGACAGTGTGTTCCCCTAGCTTTCGATTTAAACTATTATGATTCATGAAGATAACTGACAAAAATCCAAAAATTTTAAAATGAAAAAAATATGCAATTGTATAGAAATTTGCGTTTTAGTTAGATATATGTAAAAAAAGTTTTAAATGATTTCCTAATTAGTTCTTAATTTTTTACGAATAAGGTACTCATACATTTTAATTATGTATATATAAAATAAATTGTATTAACTAATTGAGTTATTTGTTGTTTTTTAGATTTTCATGTCAGTGAACAAAGAACAATTGGTATCAAATTTATATATTCTACAATCTACATATTATAATAATTTTAAAATTCAAATTTCTTTCTTCAAAATACGTAACATTGATCATATCAATGAAAAATTCTATGGTTGTATCAGCTAATAAACCTAGAATATTAAGAAATGGTAAAATTGTGATATCAAAAAAAAAAAATACAATTAAAAAAAAGTCTCTTCCAAAAGAAAAGATAAACAATAAATTATCTCTTCTTAAAACAACTTCAAAAGATATTAGTAATTTAAATGTTAAAAATAATAACAATGTTATGGTACCTTCTAATCATAACCATATATTTGACAAACATTTATATGTAGTGCTTACTAAATTACCACCATCAATAACCTATAGATATTCGTTTCATGATCATAACAATATCAAAAATAATAAAAATTATACAAAATTAGAAGATTATATTCAATTAAATGAACTTCAAATATACAATAAGCTTGAACCAAAGATAGAAAAATGTAATATGTTAACTGCTACAAAAGAAACTAAACAGACATGTATGACATCAAACTCTTTTAATAATAAAAGTGTTCTGAAATCTGAATCAAGTGATCATTCAGTAATTAATCAAACTCCAGATGTACGAATTACACGCTTAAAAACAATGAAGCTTCAAACAGAAGAAAGAAAACAAATGGATCAAGTATTTTTTGATAAATTCCCCAACACCACATTTAAAATGTTTGCTATTAAATTATATGATATTAACGAAGAAGTAAAATTTCTCCGAACACTTGGATTGATATGTCGTTTTAAATGTCCCTTTACTAGTAAAGTAAAAAAAAAATAATAATATACATAAATTGTTTTTGTATTGTCATGAAGTATGTTGATCTTAGTTTTTATTTTCCTAATTAATTGTAATTTTATATAATAGTAGAAGAAACCCGAAACTTGAAGTAAATTTAATTTAGGTGCTAGGTCTGGATAAATAGCTTTTTAAATTTTAAGACTTTTTTTTATTATTTAATCTTATTTAACTATTGTGTATAATGTATTGATTAAATTGTATGTATTAAATTATACATACTGATGTATGTTATAATTTATTTATATAATTAACTATTTGTATAGAAGTAATTCAAATATTAGTCATTATCAATTAACTACTTATTTATTTTACTGAAATTAGTATATATTATAAAAATGGACGAATAATTAAAAACTATCTAATTTAATATACTTAGTTCTCATTATAATTAATTGATTTAATTTATTAAGAACTTAACTACGAAAACATGTATTTTATCCTTGTAGGAATTCTAGTGTGTTAATAAGATTTAAGACTATTGTTTACTAGCAATCATTTTGTAAAATATTTACTACTACTATTATAAGATTGTTATTAATATAATTTAAACTAAATAATTTGTTATTAATTATGTGTAAAACTATAATAATTGTTCATTCATAAAATCCATCGATCATTCATTATTATAAATGTTATTTTAGAAATATGTAATAAAAATAATTTAAATAATTTAATATGTGTTAATATGTGAAGAGGCTTTATATCTTAGTAGTTAATATTAATTTGACAACTATATAAGCACTTAACTATAGAGCTACAAACTACAGTTTTCATTAAGTGTTCATCTTTTTTGGTTTGCGTTAATTAATGTGATCAATGATCAATCAATTTCTAACTCAAAATAATTTGCACATATTCGTGATTTTTACGTATTTTTTCAATATTTCAACTTTAAATAGTTATAATAATAATTGTGACAGTGTATTTGTAATATTTTCAACTACCATTGTTACAATATATTAGCAGTCTTTACCATCTTGTATTACATTTTCAAGCTTTTCAACCCAACGAATAAAATTTGATTGACATTTATAGAAAAAAAAAACTAAAAAATTGGAATCTGAAAATGTACGTAAACAGCTCAAAACAAAACAAAATATTTTGAACATTTTATGGTGTATAGAAAATGCTAATATAATCATTTAGTGAATATGTCATGTACCTATACGGTCATTTGTTTTAGAGTTACACCAAAAACATTGCTCAGCTTAGAATCTAAAATAATTTTAAAAAAAGGTGCGCAAGTGGGTGTCGCTCTGCTGTATAGTAGGCTACAAGTGGGTCGCTGTAATGGTGTTAATATTGTATTCAATGATATATCATTGTATAAGATAAACAATTATGAACTAAGATGGTCAGTCAGCTTATGGTAATATGATATAGGCATATAACGAAGTATATTTGATGAATAGGGTCCGGATTTAAATGCACTTGAAAGTTGAAACCATAGAAATATACTCTAAAATAATAGGCCTAAATTTCCTTAAAGAAATGTATTTTACCGCAAAAATAACTTTAAAAATGAAATATTAATTTTTTAATGGTTTTATTATTTTGGGCATTATTTAACATAATATTTAACACCATTAAAATTACAAACATGATATACGCATTGGCGCACATAGGTGGCCAGGTGGGGGTTGGAGGGACTTAGTCCCTCCATATTTCTGCCAAGTCCCGCCAGTTCAAAAGTCAGTAATTAGTACTGAGCATCTTTAACTTTTAGAAAATATTATAGGAGGGGCGTACCTAAGTCGCCAATAATTTGTCTATTTGAGCCTATGGATATCCATACGACCGCGATACAACATGAACTGACTAACTATTTGTAATTTATCCGAGTACGGGAGAGTGGTGACTCTCCACACTCAATAATTAAGGTAAAATAAAAATTGATTCAAATGATCAACAATGTGTATGGAACTATGGAAAACCCCGATAAACCAACAAAACGAAAATAACTTAAATATCAAGAAAACAATTTATCTTTGGATAATATTTTGTATAAGCTAAATTTGTACAGTATATTGAACAAATGTGCATTAAAACATTTAAAACCAACAAAATGACCCAATAATTCTAAAAATGAAGAAACGTCGAAATATGCAAGAAATTGCAAAATAAAATTGATAGCTTTGAAGCATTTGTTACATAAAACAAATTATGTACTTGGAAAGCATTGTCTAAGATCAACCAAACAGATATGCACTTTGCATTGAAATCCGGGCCCTATTGATGAGATTACTGTGAATAAAGCAATTTGTATATAAACTATTTACGTGGAATCTTGTTTTAAATTTTCAATCCTTAACTATAAAAGTTGAACATTTTATAAATGTTTAACTACAAAATAATTATTAAATTTGATGAAATTGTCAAAATTCGTTTTTCCCGGCACTTTTGAAAACTACTGAGAACTTTAATTTTGGACTTCCCAAAAGTACCAACTAGATCCACTTTCCCACCGAAAAAAATACTGAAGTTGAATATGAATATCAAAACACTATTTCAACTACTTATCGTGTACCCAGACACAAATAAAAAAACACACATCATTGCAAAATCAATATATTCATTGCTCCGCTCAGAATCTTAAAGTATCCCGCTTAGTAGAAAATTTCTATGTGTCTTAAACGTTTAAAACAAAATCATAATGTTTTTTTCTGATGTTTGAAATATAAAAACCCAAATAACATTGTTTGTTTTTCTTTGATTTCCTTGTGGGTACTAAAACAATATTTATTTAGTTGACTGATGTGGGTATTTCCATATGAATAAAATATTTGAAACCTTAAATATAAAATTCAATCACCACGAGTTTTAATACGAGCAAACGCTAAGAATACTGTTCTGAATCAGGAATCCAGGAAACGAAGAATCATGAATTGTATATTATCTACTGTATAGTAACCCCTCTCCCTTCCCCATGACCCTTGAATGTGTTATTAGTTATTACAGGTTTCAGGTACCTAGGTATATAATAAAATATATTATTGGCTTTCAATGTATTATAAGTAATATGCCATTTTTAGATAATTTTTCTAAACAACTCGATGCAAGGTTGATGAATCATAGATTGTTACTAAACAATTGTACTTGTTTAATAAATCCAAGTAGAATTATGTAATGAAACAAAATTTAAAGATCTTCTAAAGACTTATTTATCAGATACCTACTGAAGAAGATGCAATTACTATAATGGGTAAATTCTCTATATGAGTGATATACTGATATGACACTAACAAATAAAAAGTACCACGGAAGCTTAAAATAATTACAAAGAAGATATATTTATTCCCTGCTATTCGCAGACTAATAATAATCATATAGGCTACTTTTCCGGTCACAAGTTACAACTGTTTCCAGTGAAAGGTCCTTTTCAACTATGACGTTTGAAGACATATTTACGTAACATGCACGACTGGTGACAACTGTCTAAATGGTTTGGCAGTTATGACTTATGAGTTATAAATACATTAATCGTATACATTAATATAAAATTAAACCATTTAATGACAAAAGTTGCCATAAAAGATTAATGTAAAAATTAAATATAGTTTGGTACTTACTATTACTAGTTACCTTCTACTTTTCTACATTTATACTTTTTGTTTTGCATAATAATGAAATGTTTTAATATTGATTAGTATCGACAAATTATGTACCTATATTTTATTTTTCAATTATTAAGGTTGTTATTTTTCATAACATTGCCTTTGGAAATTCCTGGCAGCGCCTCCTTCCATACCATAACCTTTCATTAAATTAACATACCACTATTATAACCGACGTTAATAATGCACATTGTTCATAAGTCATAACTGTTGAGCTGTAAAAATGAATTACTAAAAGCCAAAAGAAATACATAGGTAAAATAACTCAGTTTAATGTCTTTTATTATATTAATTGTAAATTTCGAATAAATTAAATAAAACCATAATACAGAATATCAATATTTTTCTTCGTGTATCAGAATCTGAGTGGAGTAAGGAATGTATTGGTTTTACAATGAGTATAGGTAATGCAATATGTCTTTTATCTGACGTCATGTTTTGGAGCAGAAAATTTGCAATCTTGAACATTGTGGATGGTTTCTGGAAGAAATAATAATAATTTAATTATTCAAAATGTGTATGAATATTTTTTATAATCAACCTATCGGTTATATTAAGCAAACATGTTTCACAACAACTTTAAAAACATATAGTCGTTTAATAAGCAAATGGCCAATTATTAGGAAAGTTGCATGCCAGGCCTTTATAATAATTAGACAGCTGTAAAACATATTTCGTTTCAGCCTTGCAGGAGCTAGTTAACTCGTGATACTATGTTGAAAAATGATTCATCTGTACTGAGACAGTGAGACAGATGGATTAGAACGATCCGTGAATAAATTGAAAACTGCTTTTGTAATATCGTACGAATATTTAATATAATGTAAGGTATAGTTTCAATCAGTTAAGATTTGAGACGAAGAATAGAAAGAGAAAAAACAAAGTAATGAATCAAATGAACCTGAAACGTACCTATTGAGAATTATAGTCAACATTTTATGTGATTTTAAAATGTGCTGTGTGCCTGTGTGACAATTTGTTAAATTAACAAGAACTAAAAATATAACCGCGGCTGGTGATGATATAATTTATAATAAAACCACAAGGATATAATTCATCTACTGATCAAAAAGCGGCCAAAATGGACTCGAAATGTATATTGAAGATTTTGTTGACGAATCATTACAATGAATATATGTATTTTCAACCGTCATTATTGAAGACATGTTGAAAGATCCACCAACCATAATATTCTTCAAATTCAAAATATGAGCTTATTATAAAATAATAATGATCTTGTAACTATTTTTCCATATATGTAAATAAAGCTTTAAATAAAATATAAATACACAATACTATTATAGAGTATTAGAGTGCATTGATTGCCGATAGTATAAGAGCGAAACGCTCATTATATGATTTAGG